TTTAAGGGTATTACATAGAAACATAGCAAGGGAACATGAATCAAATATGCACTTTTATTCATTTACAATAAACTCATAAAGTACATCATTCTGATTGATGCTAAGGGCATACAAAACTGTCTAACAGCTACCACTCCACAGCCCAGGGCTGGTTGGTGTGGATAGAATTCTAATCAAATCTGATAGCAGTATTGCATGGGCCCAAGGTTCAAAGTATTGATACTCCTCTGTGTATTGGAAGAGAAGTATCAGTGCTTTATACAATGCACTTTTTATTTTTTGTTCTTTTCAAAGTTTCATTTTTATAAGTATTTTTATATTTATATAATAATCAAATTGAGTAGTTTCCCCAAAACACCTTTAAATAGGTGTATTGTCCGATACAATACAATACGCCTGATATGAGGTGTATCATATCGAAATTTTGAACCTTGCATGGGCCTTTAGTGGTCCTTTTTGTGGAAGCTACAACTAATAAAGATGAGATTCTTTGCTTTTAACTGGGGTTCTAATTCCAAAAGGCTCATGTCTGCCTCCCTAGATATTGGATGAGACTTAACCAACACAATTAGATGTTGCAGTACTTGGAGAATAACAGTCATTTGGAACTTTAGTATTTATCTTTCTGAACTAGTTTTACTGACCTTTGAAATTGGAAAGAAGTTCCAGATTTTTGGAAGTTCTGATGAAACTTAAATGTACAATGTTTATCAATCATCTCATGTCAAGGTATGAATTTGTTGTTTGTCAATAATTTTTTTTTCATCCAGGATGTTATGAGTGGTCAAAACTCATTTGTTAAATTATTTAAAAAAGATAAGTTTTCCCTTTCTCTTTCTCTCTCTCTCTCTCTCTCTATTTAAGAAAGCTTGCTGCATTATTTCTTGATAAATGGTAATTATGAAATGGAAAAAAGAGGGAGAAAGCCCCCATAGAGGATTAGATCCTCTTTACATGGTTAATGAGATAAAACCATGTACAAGCATATATAAACATACTTCTAAACTTCTATATTTATCAGAAAAAGAGTTAAACACTGTCTCCTTCCATTGCTGACTGAAGTTGCTACATGTTAGGCCAAGGAACTCCTTCAAAATTATGTACCAGTAAATTGCAAATCATAGTTCTTTCATCTCTTTGTCCAATACATCAGTTGAGAAGCTGGTGTCTTCATATGGCAAAGGGGGAAAGGATTCCACAATAGAGTAATGCCTCTTCTTACCTCTTACTTTTCATGGGTAGAACTAATGTTTTCGAACCGCCGTTGATCTAGACAGTCGGACCGTTCGGCCCAGGAACTGTTCAGGCAACTGGTTCCGTTTTACCCAAAACCTGGAATCTGGTAAAAAACCATTGAAAAAGTCAACAAACCGTTGATCCATTGACCTGTTCAATGGTTTTTGACCTTTTTTTATTTTTTTAATTATTTTTTAATTTTTTGATTTTTCTATGAGAATGGGCTGTCCATTCGAACCGGACGGTCAGACCGTTGACCCGGAAACCGGTGACCAAAACGGTTCCCTTTCCGGGTTGTTTTTTAAAACATTGAGTAGAACCACGCAGGAAGGTTCTTTGAAGTAACCCAATTTCTTTTAAACAGCTATAAGAAATTAGACCAGATGCTGAAAGTACATTTGCAATTGATTAATAGATATGTGACCAGTCCGTGCTCAATTCCACAAAGATACACTGGTTTTTAAAGTTAATATGAGAATTGGTTAATTACTTCATAAAAAAGAGAATTATGTTTGTTTTGTCTCTTAATTTATTCAGAGTCCTATGTAGGATCTTGTTGAGAAAGAACATCACTTGTCTAAATGTACTACAGCTGTGATGTATCTTCAGTGAACTTTGTATTTTGTTTGCTGTTTTCATGAAAGATTTTAATGTTTTATTTTTGTTTTAGAGCTAGATGATTGTATTCTTGTCAGCTTTTGCATTAATAAAGCTCTTTGACGTTCAGACCAAAATATCTCTTTGATTTTACTAATGAACAAAAAGTATTAGAATTTTATATTACATCTTAATATTATTTTCAAGTCTTTTCTTGGAAAAATGGAAATGATTTGTCTCTGATGTACTCTAGGATCTAGCTTTAAAACTGTCTCATGTGCAGGTTATGACAGCAGGACAAAGGGGATCTTTTGAATATCATGGTAACAACTATATCTTTACAGTCACACAGGCAGTCGTAGAGAGTGAAAAGTCAAAGACCCTTGAGAGGGGAATGATATCAAGTGAGACATACTTTGTTTTTGAAGCATCAAATAGCAGTGGGATAAAGGTAAACTTCATTTTTGCTGATATGCTTTCCTTGTTGTCTCTAGTTCCTCTTATTGGTTCAGTGTGATAGTTCAAATCATCTTGAAATCATGTAAAACTACTAAATTTTCATTTTCAAATGGAGTTATGAAAATAGCTAAGACCCTTTCTTTTCTTTTGTCATATGCTTCTTTCTCTTCTCTCTAAAATTATTCCATCTTTCTGCTCCATTATCTATTAATTATTGCTATTATCATCTTTGGTGATGACAAATTATATTGATTCACCATTCTTGAGTTGTGCAGATTGTCAATCAACGTGCAGCAGCCAGCAGCAACATCTTTAAGCATAAGGAATTCAATTTCCAGTCATTGGGTATTGGTGGTCTAGATGCAGAATTTGAAAATATATTTAGACGAGCATTTGCCTCTCGAGTTTATCCCCCACATGTAACGAATAAGTAATTCACACTCTTGTCATTTAAACCTTTTGGCTCAATGGATTTTTATTTTGGGGTTTGTGTGTCTGTTGGGGGGGG